TTTCAATTATTTTATTATTATTATTTTAAATTTCTATTTTTTTTAAAATTTTTTTTCTTTCACATTTAAAGATGCAGATAAATCATCGTAAAAGTAAAGTATGCATCTTCCAAGCATAATTTTAAACACTTTAAAAATCCCTTCTTTTTAAATTCATACAAGCACATTTTTATTTATTGAAACTTTGCTTAACTAGATTTATTAATGAACAAAAAGTTTCTCTGTTGCACTGGAACTTTATTTTCATACTTATTTCGGATGATACCTAGTTCAATGTGCAGAAATATCACGTAAAATATATTTCTGCACATTGAACTATAAGTAAAAGAGCAATAATGCATCAAAATGACAATGCGAAATTTTTTTTTTTAGTTTGAATTACAATTTAACAGTTAAAATAAATTACAATAACATTTCTGAATTAGATATTAGCAACTGAGTACAAATTAAATTTGATTGAATTAATGTAAATTATGAGCATGACCTGATATCGATTCTTCCCTCACGAATATATTACCAAATGATTGACATTGGTTTTGCAGTTAGGTAATAAATAAATTACAAACAATTTAGCTCAAACAAGATAGTTTTGTTCGATTGTTCAATTGGCAATCTCAGTTCAACCTCTCAGTTTAGTCACAAAAGGGAAGGGCATTAGTCCCACTTTTTGACAGGAGATAATCTATTCTCATCTTTGAATGAATACTTCTTTGAAATCTTCAATTTATTATATTCAGACTCCTTTTCACCTGCCTAATGATTTGAAAGGGTATCACATTCTTAGGTTTCTTTTTATCCTTAATAGAAATTAGCATATTTTTTCTTCAGCTGACTATCAGCTGGTTATCTCTCCCCCTTTTTTTCTGTAAACCCCAAAATTCCGAAAAAAAGCAACATGATTACACAATGATAGTTATGCCCATTTTGCTATTTAAAAAAAGGCTAACATAAGTTTGAATTAAGAAATGATGCATAATCCCTTTATTGTGTACTAGAATCAGGGAAATAACGATCCCGATGAAAACCTTTATATAAATGCAACGAAAAAGAATTTATACATAAACATATAATCAAGGAAAAAGAATTAAAAGAATTAAAAGATTAAAAGAATTATCGAAGAAATTAAAAGAATTATCGAAGAAAATATTTTTTTTTGTTTTTTTATCAGCTTTATCTGCACCTTTGAGAATAATTAACAACATATTTAAAATGAAGATTTTATTTTCCGATGATAAAAAAATTACCTAATAACCAAAAACTTTCATCTAAAATTTCAGCTTATTTGTGCGAATTTTAAGTGTACCAGGCGAGAAAGAGCCATGCGAAACTTATCTATAATCTTTATAATAAAGAATAATTATAGAGTTAGTACAGTCAATAACTAAACTATGTGGAAGAGATGCAAGTTAAAAGAAATTGAAAAAATATTGGAGACACAATTAAATCATCGGTAAGGCACAATCAATTCATAAAAGAGAGGCACAATTTATTCCTAATTTTTAATAGACACAAAATATAAAAAATAAATGCTGTCAAAAAAATGCAAAACAGTCAACAACTAAACATCAAACAGTTACATTTTGTGAATGAAGTACATACTAAGAAAAACATTATGAACACTTGTGAGGAACAATAAAAAATATTGATGAGGAAATAATTATAACTATTTACAATATCTAAGCTGAAAAAGCTTTAAGCATGGCAGTTTAGAAAGAAAAAAAAAACATACGTAATTCATTCGTTATATTGATAAGTGAAAAATTTGTAAAAAATAAATGCTTTTGACCACTAAGCTATATGCATGAGGTACATGCTACGAAAACCCTTATAAAAATTTGTGAAGCAGAGTCAAAAATGTTGGTAAAGTACAATTAAAAGTATTTACAAGTTCTCATGTCAGTTCGGAAAATGCAACAATATTGGTAAATGAAAAATAGATAAAATTAATTAAATAAATAAATAAATGCTTTTGACAACTAAAATATGTAAATTAGGAGCAGATTAAAAAAAATGAAGCAAATGTTACTGAGGTACTATTTAAAATATTAGTAAAGTACAATCAGCTCCAAAAGGACAAGCGTAATTCATTTCTAGTATTATTAAACAAAAATATGTAAAAATAAACGCTCTCTAAAACGCAAACTCAGTCAATAACTAAACATCAAACAGTTACATTTTGTGGATGAAGTACATACTAAGAAAAACATCATGAACACTTGTGAGGTACAATAAAAAATGTTGATGAGGAAATAGTTATAACTATTTACAATATCTCAGCTGAAAAAAATTTAAGCTTGGCAGTTTAGAAAGAAAAAAAAACATACGTAATTCATTCGTTATATTGATAAGTGAAAAATATGTGAAAAATAAATGCTTTTGACCACTAAACTACATACATGAGGTACATGCTGAGAAAGACATTATAAAAATTTACAAGACACAGCTGAAAATATTACTGAGGCACAATTAAAAATAATCACAATTTTCTCATGGACTTTAGGCATGTAATTTCAGAAAGTATACATGCATTTCATTCTTAATATTAATAAATGAAAAATATGTGATATAGATAAATACTTCTGACAACTAAAATACGTGGATGAGGTACATAATAAAAATGAATTACGGACAATTTGCGGGTGAGATAAGTACTCAAAATTTGTCAATTATAATAAAAATATTTTTATGCCTGAAAATTCATAAAACCAATTCGATGCTTTTTTTTCTCCAGAAACTATATTGCTTCATTAAATGTAATTTATAAATATAAAATGTTTAAATTGTTTATTAATGCATAATGAGTCATTTTAAAGCTTAAATATTGTTGTTTTATTTAAATTATTTTTAATGTATCTACAAATATATAATATTTTTAACAAGATGATTAGAAACTGTCCTCGCATCAGAAAATGGAGATGAACATTACATTAGACTTTTCATTCTGTAAAGAGCCTTCAACTGAGATTTAAAATGAATGGTTTAAAAAAATATATAGTTTTTACGATCTTTTTTTATCCTATTACGATTTATTGTCAAAGAAGACCAGCAGAAAAAGTAGAAATGGTACGTATTCTTTACACTGTGCTAAAAACAAATTTAATTCAGTATAGATGTTGTTATTTTGTAATTGCGTTTCGATAATTGATAACTGATTTTAATTGTCATTTATTCTCTTATTAAAAATAATATCTTATAGAAGAATTTATTTACAATGAAATGAAAGTTTGCAACATAAAATTATGCTTTATATTTGTGTTAGACAATTGTGTTACATTAATATTGTGTTACATACCTTCTATTATAGATTACTAAAAAAACTATATTTGAATGATTATATTTTACGTAAATATATGACTTCTTTATATGCAATACATATTTAAAGTTCCTAAATAAATTTAACTACCTGTTTTCTAGTTTTTCATCTCATCGTGATATTTTCCAAAGCAATCAATGCAGAGGCTTACTTGACATGCCTGGCATATCCAAGTAGTTTTCACAAAATTACCACTAACAGTTTTAACTTTCAGCTTCGCGCAGCGTCTACAGCATTTTTTTTCCCATTTTACTCTTACGTGGTCAGCAATTTGAGCTAAATTTGTGGGGGTTGATGGGGCCAACTTAATTGGCTTAGCCATTGTTTTGATTAATAACATTTTATAGTCCAACAATTTCATGTGTTTCTTTTCTTCGGTATTGGATAATGAGTATAATATGAATGAGTTATTTACAGCAGTGTCCAACAGAAACCAGAATAAATATTGCCACCACTTTCGACTCTTTCTTGAAGTATTGTAATACTTTCTGTTTTGATCTGCAAGATCAACACCTCCCATGTTAGAGTTGTACTTCAGAAATGTAATCGGACATTTAACCTCTTGTCTGTCCCCTCCAATTCTTCTTTTCGTGACACTTTCTTCAAAATGTGAATTTGAAGAAAGAAGAGCAATCTCCTTTTTATCTTTCCAAAGAGTGCAGATAATGTTCGGAGATTCTACACACTGGAATGATTTTGACATTCCAGTTGTAGGGAGCTTTATTGATTTTATGTTTTGTGGTAAAGATTTCCGGGCAAGATTTAAAGTGCCGCAACAATATGTGTTTTTTTTCAACAAATCATTCACCAGTGGAACACTGGTGAAAAATCTATCAAAATAAATATTGTGGCCAGGATTTTTCAGACATTCGCACAGATGTTGTATGACGTCATATCCTAGCCCCTTTCCACTTCTTGGCACCTTGTCGTTCTTTCCACAATAGACTTCAAAATTTAGAACATAGCCGAAACGAGATGTACAAAGCATCCAAACTTTTATACCGCGCTTTCCCGGCTTCAGAGGCAAATACTGAACAAAGCCCAGTCTCCCCTTATATTTAATTAGGGCTTCATCAACCGAGACATCTTTGTAAGGATTCATGCATTTTCGAAAATTCATTCTAATGTCTGCCATAAAAGGATAAAGTTTTTGCATTTTATGATAGTTTTCGTTGTTTGCGGGTACTTCTGATTCTCTGTCGGAGAGATGCAGACACCTCAAAATTTTCAAAAATCTATTTCTCTGCATAGTGGATTTTATAAATGCGTTTGACATTAAAGGATCTTTTGACCAATAATCTGTCAATCGAGGGAGTTTATTGATGCTCATAGCGAAAAGACACGCAATAAAGTTCCATAGCTCCTGCTTGTCAGTGATGGGAGGAAAGTCTTTGGAATCATTCTCATCTGTATCTTCAAAGTCTTTGCTATCTAAGCTTATGTCTCTTGCAGTTTTCTGTAGTGTCAACTTAGCATATTTGTTCGTATTTATCCTGATTTGCTCCATCATATCGGGAGTGAATAGCAGTTTAAAAAAATCAAATGGATTTGATTCTTTAGGCAAATCATGGCATGGTCCTCCACCACTGTGGGAAATAGGAGGCGGAATCAAGTTATTATCAACGGTGTCCTTCCATGTAAAAATTTCATTGTTTTCTCCAACTTTTTCGGCTTCTTTAAAATCTGCAGTGGGTTGGTCTAATTCCTCATCTAATTCTTCGATTTCAAGGAAGTATGAGCGATCATTCTCATTCACCTCTTTAGGCCAACCGTCATCTTCACTGGATAAGTCGCTCAACTCAGAATCAGATTCGAGCATCAATTTTTGAATCTCTTCTTCATCCAATGCCTTTTTACGTTTCGGCATTATGCTGTTAAACTATATACTTTTAAATTAAAAAAGAAAGCAAAGAAAATGAAAGCCTTTAAAAATAAACGTTGCACTTCTTCACTTTCGAAATTTTCAAGAGAAGTGGTCAAAACCGCAGAAGCTATTGTATTTGAGACTTAGAAAAGCTTTTTTTCCCCACTACAAGGAATGGTTAGCTATTTCTTTAACACCTCCCTGTACAAAACAATTTAAAATTCTGGTGTTTTCAAAAGAAGAATGAAAAGTAAAACATCCTTTCTATGCATTGCACCTGTTTAGCTGAAAGCATTTCTTTGAAAGGGACAAAGGAAGCCTTAGTAACCCACCAACTTAAGTCCTAATTATCGAGTGCTATGCAAAGATAATCTATCCTTGATTACTTAGCAAATGTGTTATATAATGACTTACAAAAATAATTATTGACTGAATTTTCTTCCAGTTTTTAAGAACTATATAAATTCCCGTCAAATTGATTTTGTTTACAAATATTGATATTTCATAGTAAATAAATTTTTCAAAATCTTCTTGATGCACCAATTTTGTATTGTACTATTATATCAATAACTATGTATTTTAGTTAGAGAAATTTGTAGCGCGCATTTTACCTGTTGTTTTGTTTTAAAACCGTTTGTTAGGCGCAGCATGTCTTTTCTCTGAACTTGTGTCAGTAAACCCTGCATTAAATTCGACTCAAAATCTCCTCGTTTCAACCCGAAATATTCAATTATCTTTTAGCACCATTGTGTAAACAAAATTAAGAAAATAGTATAAAATAACTAAGCAAAACAATGAACGAGGAAAAATGTACAAGTTAAGTTAGTCACCAGTTTTAAGTAATTTTTAATGAAACTTTAATATTTACTTCCGTAGTTCAATATTTAATAAAGGTAAATAACAAATTTCTCTTACAAATAATTTAAAACAAATATTAGCACAAAGACTTTGCTTTCAGTTCTTTTCCCATAAGTTTTTTAAATTTAATATTTTAACTTGCACGTCATGTTATTTTCTTACCGTCGTTGAACCTCCGACCAATTTTGGGCTTACGACAAGTAATTTTCAGCTCCGTAGCCTTGTAATTTTATATCCAATCCAAAAGACAAGGGAACTCCTGGATCAAGTTTGCCTTTGTGGAGAACTATTTGAAGGGAACTGATCCCCATGTGCGTTACATGGTAAGGGAAACCACGAAAACACCCTAAGGTTAGCCTGATGGCAGGGGGACTCTAATTCATGATCCGTTTACCACTGTGGATATTTAAGGTTAGCCCTGTGGTCAATGCGAGCCGGATGCGAAATTCGCGTCGACTAGTCATCGCTATAGAATTCGAACTTGGTATACCTCATTGGAAGGCGAATGATCCTTAACCTGGGCCACAACGGCTCTACATCGTATTATTAGAGCTAATGAAATTATGACAGCAATTTTGAATGAGGAATATTATAACGTTAACCAAGTATTGTGTAGTAATTAAAATTTTTATCGATTGTTTGAAATAGTAAGAAATTAACTAAAGAAGATGGAACTTGTATTATTTTTCAAATTAATTTTTTTTTATTAATTACAAATTTTTGTGTCATTCTGTACAGAGTTAGTAAAATTCAACTCAAAATCTCCTCGTTTCAGCGTGTAATATTCAATTATTTAAATGCAATTATCTTTTAGCACCATAGTGTAAACAAAATTAAGAAAATAGTATAAAATAACTAAGCAAAACTATAAACGAGAAAAAAATTTACAAGTTAAGTTAGTCACTAGTTTTAAGTATTTTTTAATGAAANTTACAAGTTAAGTTAGTCACTAGTTTTAAGTATTTTTTAATGAAACTTTAATATTTACTTCCATAGTTCAATATTTCATAAAGGTAAATAACAAATTTCATTTACAA